GGAAATTTTGCAACCTCCACGCAAATGTAAGCAGTTTTCGCTGAGATTAGGTTAACTAGAAAGAAAATTAAAAGTGGAATGGGGGTACGATATTTTCAGCTTTGTGGCCTAATTGAATTTGAGGTTCCAGAGGCCTCGGGTAGAATACCTAAATTGTACTGATTTGGAAGCCATGTTAAGCCATTGGTACCTATTAAGCCTAAACTCTAAATGCCCTCTACTTTCTTTTTACCCAAAGTGTCGAATTTTCTCAGCAAGTTTTTAACTCTATGTAGACAATATTTAAGCCCAAAACTTTTGTTGTTTTGTTGCCGAGCAGGCGATTCTACATTACAATGATTTGTTTTGTCATCTTGACAATAAATTGATTGCTTACTTTTTCTCACATGTGATAAAGTAAAGAATTGTGTTACCAAAGACAAATATCTAGGGCGACTTATTCCTCTCTACCGATAAAATTTTAACCGTCTCACCACCTAAATGTAACGACAAAACTTCCGCGCTCCAAAAGGGTTCCCCTCCACAATTCAATTCTCTTAACAAAATTATTCAATTAGATACCTACTCGACTCTATTTAAGATTAAGGTGCCCCTTTTTTCATTTACATTATCGCTCGGGTCAAATTTATAACTTGCCATCTTTTACGATTAGGTTTGAAGCGTAGATTGACTTGAGACTTAATGGGCTGAAGAAATTGTGATCAGTCACAAAAAGAAACCTTATTTTTAAGGGGGAAGTTCCAAAATGGAAGGTAATGAGATTTCCGGGAATGAAAATGAGACGAAACATGTAAATAGGGAAAGCAAAGGTTCGCATTAAATACATTGTAGGGACTTACAGAGGGATTTGATCTCGATAATATCCCAATTTGTTTTTAAGTACCTTCAATTTTGGGTTTGAGTGGGTGAAGTGTTTTATTTTTAAATGACTTCAGTATAGTAATTGGGGTAGACAGGTAAATTCTGTATGTACTTTTGGCTTATCATCCAAACCAAGAGGTCATTTTAGGTACTTTTTTTTCTTCTCTCATTCGCACCGTCGCGTTGCTACTCCTGTGTGGGCAGGATGCTACAGCTTGGCTATTAAGTATTCCACTATTTGACCTCTACTACAAAATCAACCAGTAAAAAGCCAAGTTTGCCCCAATCGAAAGTAAACTATCATTCCGTCATTGGCTAGGACAACTTTTTTCACAAATCTGGCAATGCTAGTGTACATCTGATTTATAATTTTATATTAAGCAATCCGTTAAAAATCCAACTAAAATTCCAGCATTTTCGTCATTTCCATGCAACACGTTTGACGGGCGGGTATTTAAAAACGCCAGCATTCATAATTGGTCTCAAAATTCATATTTAAAGTGGCTCCCTCTACCGGGATTAATCTTTTTTGAGCCACACGCGGGGTATTACCCTGCTGGGAAATTATACGGGACGAATTTAAACGCCTTAGAATCATGACTCGATGGTATGATATTTTTATATAATTTTTATGACGATTTTTGTCAAATAATATTATTATGATATTGATAGTAAGGGTGTGTGCTGGCTAGTTATATCTAGGTATTCATATTGGCTATCATCGATAAAAGTAATGTTACACATAGTTATTTAATTGAGTTATCCCTGAGTATTTTCTAACTTGAAAGGTGAGTCTGGATAAACTCGATATAATTTTAGTCTATCTTACACATTTTCACACATTCAACCATAGTACAAATAGTTTCGTAAAACCCTCTTCAAATGGTCGCATGAGACCGCGGTAACAATTGATTTCTATAGTGACTCGATTCGCTGGTACTTGAAGGGCTACATAATATAGTCACCATAGTAAACACGCTTTGAATTAATTCAACCCACAAGGTGGACCGCGGACCTCATAAAGGTAGCGGGAAAGCGCTGGATGCAGGCCGCTGCCAACCGTTCATTGTGGAAGTCATTGGGGGAGGCCTATGATCAGCAGTCAACGTCCTATGGCTGAAATGATGATGATACTTAACACACAGTTTATTTAAATTATAAAGCATTTAAGTCAACAGAGACAAACATCTATTAAATTTAATCAACCTGTATTTCAAGCAAGACTATCTTCGAATAATGATCCACTAACTTTCACTCAACAATAATTATGTCATTATTCCACGATCAGTAAATCGGTCCGGTTGTTCATTATAGCGATTCAACAGCCCCCGGGAACCGGTAATCCGGTAAACTGGTAACCGGTAAACCGGTAAACTGTGGCACAACTGGAATTGAAGAAGTTACGGTTTAATATAATGCCGCGATAGCTTCAAAACGGTATAAAAGGATAACGCTGCCAATCGCTCAACTCGTAAACAACTTTTGTAACGAGTTTCAGTGATGTTGCTTACAGGTAGGGGTGTCGTGAATAATATAGAAACTAATTAAGAAGCAATTAAAAGGTACTGATGTCCATGATGTCCACAGAAAACTTAGAAGAGTGTGAACTTACAGGGAAGATAATAATATGTACCATCCTAGACTGCATCTCACTTAACACCAGGTGCGATTGTGGTGAAATACCTGCCTTGTCTAGCATAAAAAAAATCAAATCAAATTAGTTTATTGCAATTGTAGGTAGGTACATATTATACATTGATGGGTCTTAAATTTAAACGAACAACGACAAAGAATCGTACGGCAAAAAACTTGTCGCATGCTTTCAGTGATTGCGTGAACAAGCAATGAAGCAAAAAGTAATGTATGCCTCTGCTATGATGACCGACTGATTGACCATCATAAATATTAGGTTGTTTAGGGATAAAATTAATTGACAAAAAACTGCTTATTAAATATTGAGCCTTCTTTCATCAATGAACTTTTGTTTGGTGAACGTTTGGTGAATTTATAGTACCTCTTTCTCCGTATCTGCTGATTCTATCGCCTAAAACTGTACCTATTATTTTACCGCGGACGTTCAACTAGCTTAAAATCCTATAACAATGAAAAGAACACAGCATTCTCTCTCCATCTCTACTAATTTATAAAATAACGATTAAGGCCTGCGTTCCACCAGTGAGAGGAGAGATGTGTTTGAATAACCTAAGATTTCTAAACCGAAGCTGAGTGGAGAGGTGTTGTGGAAACAAGGAAACACATCTCCTCTCCTCACTTTGGTGGAACCCGGCCCTATTTATACCTACTACGCCTTAATTAAGCGACCAATATTCTCTAAAAGGGTCTAAACGAGAAACTGAGAACTGTTAAACCTTCTTCGACCGTTTATGATCCCTACAATCGAGTTGATGTTTTCACAATCACACCGGCCTAAATTGGCAGGATGCCAATAAAAGTTTTGATTGAGATACTCAAAAGTGGTAAAGAATCTAGAGATTCTGAAGAACCTCAGATTCTGAAGAAGAAGAAAGTGAAGGCTTCAGGAATATGTTTCTATGTTGTTTATTAATTTATTAGGAAAACAAAGAGCAGCTTACAACACATAAAATATAATAATTATCAGAACTTTACATTTTCCAAAAGAGTTTTCACAAATTAAATACTCGTAGTTGCAAAAAAAAACTAATATTAGAGCGATTACATTCCATTTTTCGTATGATTACATCCTAACAGATTTGTTAATTTATTTTTAATTATATTACGTCACATTGCTTATTATGTAAAGGTACATACGAGTAATTGTACTCATTAGCTTAATTTAATCGCCTACGACTAATGAGTACCTGCTCTATGACTCAGCAACAAGAACTATGCTCGATCTAGATTCATACATCCACAATCATGTAGTACTAAGATTCTGATCTTAAATCATACTAGCGGCCGCCCGCGACTTCGTGAACGTGGATCCCGTTTTACCCTCTTTAGGGGTGGAGTTTCGTAAAATCCGTTCTTAGTAAGTGCCTACGTTCTAAAAGGAACCCCCATGCAAAATTTGAGACTCCTAGCACTTGTAGTTTTGTGATGAGTAAGTGAGTCAGTCAGTGACCTTTTGCTTTTATTTATATAGATAAACGTATGAACTATTACAGCACATAAAGCTTGATGCTGGGGAAATGTTATGTAGTTTAAAAGTGCGATTTTTCAATTTTGACACTTATTGACGACAGCTGAGGCACACTTTCTCGCTAACTACCTACGAAGCGAATATGATTAAGATTTTAATAACGTAACATACTTGCTTTTCCCTCTTTTCCCTAATATGTACTGAGTTTAATTACACTAGAGATCTTTATATTCAGAATATTTTTGGGAAAATTTCTCTCGACTAACATGTTCAACATATTTTATTATTAGAATTTTTGGATAATAATTAAACGAATCAATTTCTACTTTCCAAACTAATCTTCTATATATACGAGTATATAAAAGAAAGTCGTGTTAGTTACTCCACTTATAACTCAAGAACGGCTGAACCGATTTAGTTGAAAATTGTCAGGGAGGTAGTTTAGAGCCAGGAGAAGGACATAGGATACTTTTTATCCCGTTCGAAATAAAAAAAAAGTCTGCTTATTTATTGCCATTAAGGCGGAACAAAGTTCGCCGGGTCAGCTAGTAACAGAATAAAATAGAAAGACTACGAGTCTAGACCTAGGCGCAGACCGCCGATTTTTAATTGACCGATAGTTGTTAANCGCCTTAATCAGTATGGAGATGTATGAAAGTGCACACATTACACCGATTTGCTATCGGCCGATTCTTCATACAAATTAAAATCGGACCTACTGTCGGCCAACTAAAAGTCGGTGGTCTGCACCTAGGCTTAACACGACCATAATACAAAAATTGCTGAAGAATATTATAATTGCTACATAATACACAATCATTCATGAAATTACTATGGTAAATGACTAATTAAATGCATCAGGTTCAAAAATATACCATTAGCAGAAAGAATCATTAGTAACCACTTACTCAACTCGTTAAACTGCTAATAATGTTGTCATCACTTAATTATCAAATTAGTGTTAAATATTCTAGAGTTATTGGTATAAATACAGTAGGATATGTCGACTCTTGTCACTTGTGAATAAGTATTCAAGTAGTAATCTGTAATTATAATGAGTAATCCAGTGTCCCAGTTCATCAGTTCCTTTTACACTGGATTCGACGAATTGAATTGTACATATTTTGACAATCAGTTAATTGAAATTTGTGAAACGGTGGAAGCAGTGTATAATAGGGAGAAAGACTTCGATCCCTATTTTGATAAATACCTCGTGAAAATTTGTGAATTTATGGAAAAAACGTGAGTTCCAATTCTTATTTTTTATTTTTATTTTTTTTTATTTTGTTCATATGGCATACCAACAACATATATATTTTACTCTTATGATTAACATTTATGAAGATAACATTTCAATAACAATAACAATTCTTATCATTGAGAGAGTCGATACTTTATAAGAATTTTAAGATATTTCTTTCAGTTTATAAATGTGCCGTTTAAGAATTCAATATTAAAAGTGTTAATTTTTATTGTTACAGAATCAAAATGGAACAACACAGAGGTGTAAAACGGGAAGCTCAAAACAGTATTTATCCAAATGAAAAGCGGTTAAGACTACTTGGAAAATCTGAAACGGTGAAAAAGGAAGAAACAGAAGTTTTCGATCCTAATGAAATGGAGCTAAAGCTACTTGTAAAATCTGAAATGGTGATAAAGGAAGAAAAAGAAGTTTTCGATCCATATTTTGATAAATATCTTGTGGAAATATGTGAGAAGATAGAGAAAACGTAAGTTTCAACTGTCATTATTGGTTATTTAAATGGATAATTTTAACTATTTTCCCTTAGTGTGAATAGGTATTAACTATGTTCTTTTTACATTGTTACAGTGTCAAAATAGAAAAAGTAGAGGTGAAAGTGGAAACTACTTCATGAATCATCAACTTCGAGGGATGGTGAGAGTAATCACAAACCGAGAACAATTATGTGTGAAGATTTCAAAAATGCAGTTTCTCTAATTTATGTGGACTGCCCTCGGGCTGACATTGATCGTGGTAATTCTTTAATAATTTTATCATGTGTGAAGATTTGAAAAATGCAGCTACTACAATATAAGTGGCCTGCCATCGTCGTTGTATTCTGCCTGTTCCTGAATGTATCGTTTAGAGGTTTTGTATAGGTAATATTTAACTCGTACATCCGCGTTCTTCCAGTGGTCTACCTGGTCAATATTCTCTAAGTACGTATTTTAGGTACTTATGCAGATATTGGGATGTTATAGCTTTTGAAGGTGTTGTATTCATTTTACTTCAATTATCTATGGTGTGGTTGCGATTTGCCTACCGAACCCGTCTGGCCAGCGTGGCGAATGTGGGCCAAATCCTCCATTTAACTTTAGTTCATTTGAAAGGGGTCGTGCTCCTGGAGTGTAGACGATCGCTCTAGCTTTCTTTTATTGAATATATTCTTTGAAGAATTCGTCCATCGGTTCGTCTGTCGTTCTATTCATAATACTACTTCTTTGTTGCTATGTAGTAAACTCATCTTCATCAGATATAGAGAATTTTATTCAATTTAAATGATCTATTGTAATTATGATTTTTACAATAATTGTTTCATGTTTAATATACTTGTGATGAGGTGGAACTGTTCTACTAAGTTTTTCTATAATGTTAAAAGCTTTCTTGCTGAAGTTAGCCTTGGCTGGAGCTGTGAAGAATTAATTTATGGGTCATTCATTTATGTGAAGTCTTCTCAAGGCTTCATTTTGTAATATCATTAACACAAGTTATTCTACTAAATTGATGTGTTAGTAGAATTTAGCACTATGTGACGCTTGGTGTTATTGTATGGTTAACTATACAAATTGTATTATTTCTTGTCTGTTATATAATTTTTGAGTTTCGGGTAGTATTTGATACGAACTTCTGCATGCTTCCTATGGTGCTACTTGGTTCACTTGTTCCAATTTTTTTATTTCGTATATTTCAATTTTTATCAAGTGGGTGGTAGTTAAAGCATCGGTGTTAGTTGAGCCGTACGGAATTGAATCTTTTTTCGGACTTCCCACTATTTATGATCTTTTCACTTTAGCTACGATTGGATTGATTTTCTGAAGAATTCATCTATTGTTCTATTTTATTATTAGTATTACTACTCTGTTGATATATGAAATGTAGTAAGCTCATCGTCGTGAGAATTTATTATTTTTACAATAATTGCAAAAAATACCACAGCTTCGTGTTTCATATACCTACATGTGATGAGCTGAAACTGTTCTACAATTTTTTTCTATAATGTTGAAACCGCTTCTTGTTGAAGTTAGCCTTTGCAGGAGCAGTGAAGAATTCATTTATGAGTTCATTAGTCTTCTCAGGGCTTCATTTGTAATATCATTAACACAAGCTGTTCTACTAAGTTTCTCTACCGAGTTGATGTTTTGGTTGAATTTAGCACTATGTGTCGCTTGGTGTTATTGTATGATTATACAAATTTTATTATTTCTTGTCTATTTCTAATTGTTGAGTTTCGTGTAGTATTTGATACGAACCTCTGCATGCTTCCTATGGTGCTACTTGGTTCACTTGTTTCAATTTCTTTAATTCTAAAATTTCTATTTTTATCATGTGGGTAAAGCATCGTTAGTTGAGACGTACGGGTTTTTTTTTCGGACGTCCCAGTATTTATGACCTTTTCGCTTTAGCTACGATTGGGTTGATTTTCTGAAGAATTCATCTATTGGTTATATTCTTAATACTACTACTCTGTCGATAGGTATGTATCAAATTATTATTAAAACAAATAAATGGCAAATTCATCCAGTCTTCATTATTACAATAATAATTTTCATTCGTCAAATTTCCTAATTTTATTAGAAAGAAAGAAAGTATAAGAAAAACTTTATTTGACACAAAAAGGAAAAAATAAAAAACAGAACAAAGGGACTTAAAACTATACACGCATATTATTTTTGTGCCAAAAAGGCGCCCGCTCAGCATTAATCGAGGCTGGTTTTCAGCGGTTATTAGTTGGTTGGCGTCAAAAACAGTCTTCGGTTTTATGATTCCGTCAGATAGTGAAAATTTTATAATATTTAAATTATCTGTAGTGATTACACTTTTTACAATAATTGCAGAAAATATAAAATTTCATGCTTAACATACTCGTACATGTGATGTGATGAAGCTATTCTAGTAAGTTTTTCTACTGAAGAAAGTATTCATAAAGTTTAACATCGCGTCATTCAATTTTTGTTTCCATTAAACAGATTGGTAAGATGGGAATGTGCGTTATCCTTGACGTCGAATTTCAGGCTGAATCTTTTCTAATCCAAAATGGTAGCACCGTTTGCAGGATGACCAATCCAAATTCTTCAGTCAAATTTTTTAGCTGGTGTTCATAAAATTTAACATTGCGTCACTCAAAATTCGTATACTTCTATTTAGTTCTTCTAGTATCATTTGATTCATCGTCTCGTTTGAGGATAAATTATGTATGATATGGAATCACTTTTCAGTCGTCGCAGTGTTCTTTTTCTTACTGTTATAGCTAACTTTGATGGTTCTGTAAAGAATTCATTTATATCAGTTCTTTACTCCTTTTTTTGTACTCATGGTATGTACGAAGTTAGTTATTTTTCAGACTTTATTTAAAAGATTGCTAAAATCTATTAGAGTTGGTTACTTTTACTACTCTCCTATTAGCTGTATAGCCATATATGCTTTTATAGCGTCAAATATTACTTGATATCCGGCAGTCAGAATGAGCAATCCAAATTCTTCAGTCAAATTTTTCCAGCTGGTGTTCATGATGATGTCAGTTTCGGCTGTTGTTATTTCAAATAAATAAATTAATTAAAATAAAATAAAATAAACATTGCGTCACTCAAAATTCGTACCTATACTTCGGTTTTTATCATGTGTGTAGCATTTGATTCGTCGTCTGCGTTTGAGGATAATATGTATGTTATGGAATCACTTTTCAGTCATCGCACTCTTCTTCTTCTTACTGTCACAGTGTGAACAGCTTTGACTGGTTCTGTAAATAATTCGGCTGTATCAGATCTTTAGGTACTCGTTTTTTTGGTCTTCTTCTTTTATTTTCGTGTCGACAACAAACCTACACAGTGTCAGCCCAAAACTCCGCCACAAGAGTGGCGTTGTCAGTAGCACTCATCAAATCCTCCTGAGTGCAGTTGCTTGGGCACTCAGGGCATGACATCAGGTTTTTTTGGTACTCTAATGGTATGTAGGAAGTTGTTTATTAAGACTTTTTATTTAAAAGATTGCTAAAATCTATTAGAGTTGGTTACTTTTACTACTCTCCTATTAGCTGTATAGCCATATTATGCTTTTATAGCGTCAAATATTACTTGATATCCGGCAGTCAGAATGAGCAATCCAAATTCTTCAGTCAAATTTTTCCAGCTGGTGTTCATGATGATGTCAGTTTCGGCTGTTGTTATTTCAAATAAATAAATTAATTAAAATAAAATAAAATAAACATTGCGTCACTCAAAATTCGTACCTATACTTCGGTTTTTATCATGTGTGTAGCATTTGATTCGTCGTCTGCGTTTGAGGATAATATTATGTATGATATGGAATCACTTTTCAGTCATCGCACTTTTCTTCTTCTTACTGTCACAGTGTGAACAGCTTTGACTGGTTCTGTAAATAATTCGACTGTATCAGATCTTTAGGTACTCTTTTTTTTGGTCTTCTTCTTTTCTTTTCGGGTCGACAACAAACCTACACAGTGTCAGCCCAAAACTCCGCCACAAGAGTGGCGTTGTCGTAGCACTCATCAAATCCTCCTGAGTGCAGATGCTTGGGCACTCAGGGCATGACATCAGGTTTTTTTGGTACTCTAATGGTATGTAGGAAGTTGTTTATTAAGACTTTTTATTTAAAAGATTGCTAAAATCTATTAGGGTTGGTTACTTTTATTACTCTCCAATTAGCTGTGTAACCATATATGCTTTTATAGCGTCAAATATTACTTGATATCCGTCAAATTTTTCCAGCTGGTGTTCATGATGATGTCAGATTCGGCTGTTGTTATTCCAAATAAATAAATAAAATAAACATTGCGTCACTCAAAATTGGTATACTTCAGTTTTTATCATATGTGTAGTATTTGATTCGTCGTCTGCGTTTGAGGATAATATGTATGATATGGAATCACTTTTCAGTCATCGCACTTTTCTTCTTCTTACTGTCACAGTGTGAACAGCTTTGACTGGTTCTGTAAATAATTCGGCTGTATCAGATCTTTAGGTACTCGTTTTTTTGGTCTTCTTCTTTTCTTTTCGTGTCGACGACAAACCTACACAGTGTCAGCCCAAAACTCCGCCACAAGAGTGGCGTTGTCAGTAGCACTCATCAAATCCTCCTGAGTGCAGTTGCTTGGGCACTCAGGGCATGACATCAGGTTTTTTTGGTACTCTGATGGTATGTAGGAAGTTGTTTATTAAGACTTTTTATTTAAAAGATTGCTAAAATCTATTAGCGCTGGTTACTTTTATTACTCTCCAATTAGCTGTGTAACCATATTATATGCTTTTATAGCGTCAAATATTACTTGATATCCGTCAAATTTTTCCAGCTGGTGTTCATGATGATGTCAGTTTCGGCTGTTGTTATTCCAAATAAATAAATAAAATAAAATAAACATTGCGTCACTCAAAATTGGTATACTTCAGTTTTTATCATGTGTGTAGTATTTGATTCGTCGTCTGCGTTTGAGGATAATAATATGTATGATATGGAATCACTTTTCTTCTTCTTACTGTCACAGTGTGAACAGCTTTGACTTGTTCTGTAAATAATTCGGCTGTATCAGATCTTTAGGTACTCGTTTTTTTGGTACTCTGATGGTATGTAGGAAGTTGTTTATTAAGACTTTTTATTTAAAAGATTGCTAAAATCTATTAGAGTTGGTTACTTTTATTACTCTCCTATTGGCTGTGTATTTTTCTGGCTTCAAATATTACTTGATATCCGGCAGTCAGAATGAGCAATCCAAATTCTTCAGTCAAATTTTTCCAGCTGGTGTTCATATGATGTTTGAGTTAACATCGCATCACTCTAAATTCGTATACTTCAATTTTTATCATGTGTGTAGCATGCATGCATGTGTTAAGAAGTACGAATTCAAATAATTTTGATTTATTCCCATCTTTATTGATGGTAATAGAATGGGCTCTGCCATAAAATGGTTTCTGTTTGCTTTCCTCATATTGAAAAATATGTATAAAATATGTGCATGTTTCTTTTCAACTCTTGACTCGTCTTTGGCTTCCCTTGTGATTCAAGTGACTGAGCTACTGGACTGACATAATGCATGTCAAGTCTTGATAGACTTTAATTTACATGATCGCATAGCGTTAATTAACTAAACTAGGATTGAGACACTTCTAGTGTCTACATACTTAAAATATTAACCATTTACAGAAATTGTGGCAGTGTAACAATTGGTGCCATTGTATGATAAACACATTTTATTATTTCTTGTGTGTCTTGTAAGGTCACAAACATCGTTACCTATTATATAATAATCTATGTAATTCGCAATTTGTAAATGTATAGAATCTTGAAAGATCTCAATTATTTTTATAGTCATAGAGAAGTTTGTCACTAGATCTTAATTAGTCACAACTATTTCAGTGATTTGCTAATTTAAATTGTAAGAAACTTATTGTAATTGGAATGTAATTTATGATTATATTTATTGAGAAATAAAATTGGTTTAAAAACGAATCACATTTATTTTAATTTCGCATTGCATTACTTTTTCCTACCTATGTGTTTTATTTTCAGAATATACTTGAACTGAGTAAGTATACATATTTCATGATAAGAAACCTCAACTAATAACAATTAATGATCTTATACCTACTCTATAAGATGTCTAATGCCATACACATGAATGCCAGTTTTTATTAAGGCTGGGTTTAACCATCTTACTTTAACTTTAACAAACGTCTAAAATGTGTCAAATTCCAAACAAAAACACCGGTTATCGTTATAATATTATCTTATGATGTAACTCAGCCTAACTTATAAAAAATAATTTCACTGATTACAAGTAAAATATCCACTGGAAACAACAGATTAAATCATACCCAACCTCAAGTTAAAGTAACCATTCAAATAATATTAAGAGAATGATTGTCTACTCGAGTAAGTTTTAAGATAACACTCAGAAATAAACTCCTCTAGACTAAGTTCTCGTTATAGCGAGATTACCAGCTATTACATTGTTTTTACTTAATTAATACTTAATTGAATGAGTAAAAAGTGTACGTTGAACGTGATATTTAACGTTAGACGCCTGTGTTAGAACACGTTGTAGATTTAAGAAAATGTTTTGCGGAAAAATTTACACTAGCATTATTCGTGTCTGGAAATTCAACCTAAGATAAAATTCCCGAGTAAGAGTAACTTAGAGGGATTTAGTGTTACTAGATTTCGTTAATTTTTTTTGTTACATCTACAAGTAGATACTTCACTTATTCAAGGTGTGTATTTATTTCGTTTTAAATTAATTAGAACAATAAACCAAGTTTCGAACTGCTCCTATGTAATTTCGAACTCCTATGTTCTTCTGATTAATTTCGTTGCGGGTCCAATGACAGTGTAACTTTCCCCCGGGACAAACTTGACCCAACCAATGAGGTTGGGTTTTTATGGTGGTCAAGCTGTAGATCCTGGCTACACAGGAGTTGCAGTGGTGGGAACGAGAGGTGGGAATTGTCCCGTAAACTAAGTTTAGGATGCTGCTCGATGGACCGATGACCTCAAAAAGAGGTGAAGTACAAACTTATTACTACATTATATCTCCTGCTTTTATGACTTTGCCAGCCATGTTCAGCAATGCTGTCATTAGCTGATTATAATTTCAAACTAAATGCTTTAAAACTCGTTTCTTCATATAACTTAACTAAGACTTATGCTTATGTGCTTACTTGCAACAAGTCCCAAATTGGGACCCTAATTCAGTCAACATATACATTTATGTTGCAAAATCGCCGTTATTACAATCACTTAAGATCCACAGTGTTTATCTTAACGTGCAGTCCGTACAGCATCAAGTATTCAGTGCTAATAAATCCTTCAGACGGTTTCTAGGAATTTGCTGCACTACAAAGTTCATAATGTAAAGATAATGTTGGCGTTAATTTTCTTAATGTGCTTAAATATTAGGAACTGCAAGAAAATCAGGAGTTGGAACGTTTTTGAAAATTCAATTGGACAATTAAAAGAGCTTTGGTTAAACTGTTTTGATAAACACAAAAGATTTGTTAGTCCTATTTTGTTGAGATTGTTTTGAAACTGTGTTAATGAAAAACAAAATATCCTTGGAAACTATACTACACTATCGCCTGGCATCTGAACTTCATAAATAGTTCAGACGCAATTAAATTAAATAAAATCCCTGATAAGGCATAAGAAAAGAAACTTATCTAGGAGATAAAATAATTTATTATGTGTCACTTGTTCATGTAACTGGCCCTTATCACTTCCTTAAATAAGAAGAAAAAAAAACTAAATTCGAATGCTTTAATTCTAAATTTAAAAACAAAACAAGTGACAGTCTACCAAAGGAGTTTCTTCTTCAGCTAACAAATTCCGAATTGCCAGTCTATTCAAACCATTCAAACCGAACAACTGCTAGGTGTTTCTTAAAACTTCCGTATTCAATTTGCAGTCGGCCAGTGCATAATCACATAATGCCAACTCGATAAAAGCTACCAGTGTTTGTAGTTTTATTTGTGTTAGCGACAACAAAGGCACAAATATTTTCTTTAAAGTTTAAAGCAGCGATTGTAGCGGACTAAAATATCTCAGTATTCGGGACGAGAGTTAACTTTATGTAAAGTGTTGTGGAGAAGTTTTTCTTTTGGACGCTTGGAAATACTTGGAATACATAACAATAAGTGTAAGTGTCAGATATAAAGGTAGTGTGTTAGGAATATGGAATTGATTGTTCAAACGGAATGTACTGTTTGGGATGAAAATATGGAGTGGGATAAGTTTGAGTACAGAAATGCAGTAAAGAGCCATAAGCAATTGGGAAACTACTGCTTACATTGTAAGGAAACCAATGCCCTCTTTCCAATCTACTGAAAACCACAACCAATCTACTCGTTCTCTTTTTTTATTTTCAAAATGAGACAACTTATGGTTTACTTTTGCAGTTGATATTATGTATTCTGGCATAGTCACACGTTAAAAGAACATAGAGGACTAAAACATGAAAGGGTGAAATAGGGGATGAAACTTTATACGGGCAACCAAGCATTTCTTAACTAAAATATCTAAAACTTTAATTGAGTTTTGGTGTCAGTGTCAAATTGCCAATTCGAAGATCGGTTTTAGTTCGATCTCCTACGTCCCTAAATCATTAAATTTGTGATAGTATCTCCCTACTCTTTAAAAATCATATTAGCGAACCCTGAACCCAACACCTAGTTCTTGATAAATTAAAACTCCATGAGTCGCATATACCATACCTGTATTATAAACTATTTCCTTTCTTTGCTTAGCAGTTTTCCAGGCATTTCCATGCGAATTATTAAATGTTTGTCTAAAATACTTGCACAATTGTTCGCGACTGTTGTTATGCAAAACGCAGTGTTGTCGACAGCTCAACGTGCGGTTTAAAAACAAATTCCATGTTTAGTGGAGCCATATTATTGCACAATAAGGCCATAGAATAGTTTGCATTACAAACAAACTTGCAAAAAAATACTTTGAGGGGATGAAAGTTTGAATAGCGTCTTTGAAAAAATAAGATTTTGCTAAGAAATATTAAGTTTAATAGGATTACCCTTACCAAACATGACCCAAACATAAATGACACTCAAAAGAGAAAATTATTTGTGGTTACATTATCAACCTTATAATTGCTGCTGTCTTTCCCGAAGAATATAATCGGGGGGTTTTCAAGGCACATATGTACCATCCTAGACTGCATCCCACTTAACATCAGGTGCGATTGTGGTCAAATATCTATCTGCCTTGTTAATTGACATGAAATGCGCTTCATTGTTATTTTCCTATGCCTTCGATCAAGAAAGTTACCATTTTAAATCCATTTACCTACATTGTCAACCAAAAATTTTATATTAATCACTCCATCAAGATATTTTTCTTCTATCCAAGACATGTTACGAATGCTTGGCAAAGAAATGGAGTACACAGAAGAAAAAGTAAAGCAAGAAACTTCGCCGTTTCTCTTCCAGTCCATAACATTTGATAGCAGTCCCAGAATACGAAGTTTGTTCTCAAGTTTATAGGTACTACTAGTCTGGCTCACATTTAAAAACCAAGCAAATAATAATTTTAAATGGTAAATAAATAATCTTCTATAAGTTCTTAATGATTATAAAGATAGGTGAACTGAAAAATAAATACTCCTTTGATAGATACTTTTGAGCTAGACTTGGAGTTGGAATGTAAACGTTTATGAGGCAAAAAAATTGTTATTGTTTTTCTAAAAATATAGATGACTAGCTTTCCGCCCGCGGCTTCGCGCCCGTGGACCCCTAAACCCTATGTTTTTCCAAAATAAAATTTAGCCTATGTTACTCGTGGATAATGTAGCTTCCGAATGGTGAAATAATTTTTAAAAACGGTCCAGTAGTTTTTGAGCCTATTCATTACAACCAAACAAACAAACAAAGTTTTCCTCTTTATAATATTAGTGTAGATAATAAACGAGTATATTTCATAAAAAAAACTATTGTCAAGAGACTAAAGATTACGGAGGGAACGAGGGGCTAACGAGACTATTAGAATTTGTGTATGACGAATATTATTTTTTAATTTTGCTGCTCAAAAAGGTATTGTTCAGAAAACTTACGCCCGTATTCACAAACGATGCTTGCTTAAGGCTGAGTTTCACCACCTAACTTTGACCGTAGCTGTAACGATAACCGGTGATT